GGACACGAATCCTAAGAGGCGTCAGGTTCAACATCTTTGTTGATACTTCCTGCCTCAGTGTGTTTTACAAAAGCAGCACATGCACAGATTCATTGGCATCAAATGACTTCATGCTTTAACACATATTGTTATAGGCTACAGGCCTTATTGCTACAACAATTGTTCAAACCAGTCCAGTTTCTGGGAGACAAAACGTTTGCTTTGTATTGTTCAGTATCTGTAAATTGCACATCATTCCATTCAGTAAAGTAGGTTGTTTCATACACCAGCTTGAGCAACGTGCTGGGATATGACTGAACGGAGGGAGAAAGCGCTGCCTTCCCAAGATGGACCAAGTTTAAAGCAAACAGCCCGTGATAATTTATTTTATCGAATACCCAACCTTTATTTGCCCTTCATGAGCAGAGTGATAAAGGCACTGTGAGGGCGTTATGTGATAAATCTCAGCGCCGATATGGCAGGTAGCTGACCAGTGCAAACCAAAATGCCACCACACGTACATGTGGTTGCATGAAATGTGGTTGCTGCAGAACTGATAATGTCAAACAACTTAGAAATTAGATGACTATAAAATGATTTAAATAACTTTGTTTGATCTCAGCAACTCTCAGATGGATTGCCATGAAATTTCATGCAGACATTCATGTTGTCCTCAGAATGAGTTGTAAAGACTTCAGTGTTCCCTGGATGTTTCCTCCTGCATCATTGTGCTCTTAACATTTTAATTAGTCAAATGTTTGGGTTTACTCATTTATTGTGTCGTGGTAAAGAGGGAGCTGAGTCGGAAGGCAAAGCTTTCGATTGACTAGTTGATCTATGTCTCAACCCGTATCTGTGGTCGTGATCTCTGAGCAGTGATTGAACGAATGAGATGCAAGCAGGTGAAATGAGTTTCCTGTGTAGGGTGGTTGAGCTCAGCCCCAGAAATAGGATGAGAAGCTCAGACAGTGGCTCAGAGTGGAGTTACTGCTTCTGCACTTCCAGTGGAACCAGCTGAGGTGGTTCATCTGATTAAGATGCCTCTTGGGCAACTTCTTTTCCCGGTTTCTGGACACGTGCTAATGGGAGGAGACCCAGAACTCCCTGGAGGGATTACATATCTCATGTGGCCTGGGAACACCTTTTGTTCCCCTTGGGACAAGCTGGAAAACATTGTTTGTAAAAAGAGACGTCTGGAGTTGCCTACTTAGCTGCCACCGAGACCAAACCCTGGTTTTGCAGAAGAACATTAAAGGATGAACTTTAGTTTATGACCAAATGTCTACAAAGTGAAAGACAGTTGTGTTTGCCTCAGATGTACACTGTGTGTAGTGCCGGTGAGTATTAGTGGACCTACACATTATAGAAGAGGTTAGCATTGTCACTATGAGCATGTCCACCTGCTGATGTGAGCAACCAGCTCAAAGCATCTCTGTGTCCAGCAGCCTTTCAGACCTGCTCATGTTACCGCAGTCTCCTGCCAAAAATGAAATATCTGAAAATCATCTGCAGCCACCTGTTGCATGCACCTGCAGACTTGTGAGTGTGAAGACTTGTTTTGTTTTGTTTTGACTCTGATGGATTATTGTCACAGTTTATTACTTTAGATACTTAAAGACACGCAGAAGTGTTTGTTCTCCGGCTGCGTATAAATAAGTAAACTATATGGCCAAAACTCTGCAGGAACCCAAACATTACACCCGTATGTGATGAATGAACATCACACTCCAAAATGTGAGCATTAATCAGCTGCAACAACAGGAAGGAAGGAAAGTTCCTCCACACTAAATCTGGAGAAAACCTTTCTGTACCGGTTCTGTGCGCAGGAATGTCTTCATGACGGAACAAAAAAAGTCTTTGCAAAACTGATTACAATTGGAGCTAACAGGCCTTGGCTAAGTCCTAAAAATCCGCCTCAGACCAGTGAGGACTGCGCTCTCTTGACATCTTTGCCCATGAGGTGTATATAGCTGTGTAGAGGTTGTTGCCGGGGAAAGAAACATCCATGCTCAGCAAACTGTCGCTGGATAACAAAGCTGTAAAAGACAGAAGTGAGGAAGAGCGTGAGAAGCTGGGGGTTTTGTTTTCCATTTGACACTGATGGATCGCTTAAGCCTGGATGAACCAGCGTCTGGACAGTCCAGACGTTTAGAAAATCCTGTGGATTACGAGGAGGAAAGAGCACATCAACTGGAACATACCACCAGTCACTCACAGCCCTGACAACATTACATATACTGTATATGTTGAGCAATATGACTTTTCCATTACCTAAAGTGTATTTTGGAAAGTGTATTTGTGTTACATTTGAGGATTTGCTGTTTGTGCGCCACTCTGTCAAATCAAAAATGATCTTTTTTGATTTGACAGCTCAACAGGTTGGGCAGGTGACTCTGGGCAGGTGACCCTGGGCAGGTGACCCTGTACAGGGGCTCTAGGCCCCATCGCAGCTGCTGTGGTTTGATTCCAGCCAGTGGCTCATTTGCTGCATGTCCTTTCTCCACTCTGGTCCCCATGTTACTGTCACTGTCCTATGAATTAAAGGCAGAAAAGACCCAAAAAATATCTTTAAAAAATGAGCTTTTCTGAGGCTTGCAGAAGCTGTCTTATTTATAGCTTAACCACCATTTATTTATGACTTTATTCAAATAAGGGGTTTTACAGGACTATAGAGTTGCTCAACCTAACAGAGCCCTATGTAATCCTTCAGTTGACCTTAAAGTCACCATGAAATGAAAAATGACTTTGTAAACATGTTTGCTAAATCGCCACCCTACGGTATAATCCTTTATAAGAATACATTGCAAAATGTGTGCACAGTTTTATTTTCTTGTTGTTTTTATATCAAAAGACATAAAAAGTTGTTTCACACCTCTCATACTTGTGATCCATCCATGGCTGCCTTAGCCTGCCTGGAAACCTTCAGCAGAACAAATTAACAAGGCAAGATGCGGGCAGCCAAAATGCTTTTGTCTCCTCCTATAGATTGAAGATATGAGATTTGCACAATAAAAAAGCTTGAAGGGATTTTTTTATTTTTTAAGAAACTGGAGTGTTATGAAATCCCTGAAACCAGACTCCCTTTTTCAAGTCCTTGAAACAGGTTAAGTTTCACCAAAATTATGTCAGGTCGTGACCACATTCTGCTTTTCATGTGATCAAGCTTTTAATGTGAATACTTCTGACTGCATCACAGCAGTTGTACCTGTTTCACCCTTCTTTGTGCAATCAAGGCTTTTTAAAGATAATGAACCTGCACTAACAGACAGGAGCTCAGCTACCATGTTGGAAGAAGCTCCTGCTCTGTCAAAAACCCTCCTGCCTCCTCACCAAGGCCTCCTATTCATACTGCTGGAAAATCTCCCACATGCTGTCAGTGAAAACACAAGGGATGACCGTGAGCGCCTCAAAAGATATTCAAAAAAAAAAAAGAAAAGGCAGCCGACGGTTGCTGTCAATACAGGCAGAGTGATTTTTGCATAGAAGAAGCAAGGTGCTGGAGAGTCCATACCATAATAAGAAATGACTACACTCCTCCTATTCTAATCCCCAACAATCTCATTGTGAATCTGCACTACTCTGGAAGGCTTGTACTATATCATACTTTTATAACCTTTCTAGAATATTCTTTTAGAATATTAAATAGAGCTGCATTTCCTGTTTTCCCCCATTTGAACTAATGGTGCAGCCACAAATACTGTAATAATTGTACTGTGGTTTTGAATATGCTGATTATGAACTGGAAAGACTGTCTCTAGGTCCCAGATCTGCAGGGCCCCTCAATAAACTTAAGTTTACTGCATGGCGGCTGGTTTATGGTACGCTGATAACCACTAAAGCACAACATCACCATGATAGGTCTAAATTACCTCATTTAGAGAGTCTGTTTTGCAGTAGGTCCCTGTGTCCCTGCATTATTTCAGCTGGCAGCTTGATTACAAAGTGCATATTCCTCAATGAATTTACACTGAATCATATTATTCTACCAAAAACCTGAAGTAAGAAGACAGTTTAGTACAACATTTAATACTAGTATTACACCATATTAATGGTGCAAAGCACACAGCTGACTTTACAAGTTTTCTGTAAGTTTGAATCACTTTTATTCTGTAAAAATTCAAATCAACTTAAAAAATGGAGCAATGAGGTTAAATATTTCTAACACTACAATCTGATAGCCCATACTTGTATTAAAGTGCAAAAGACTATGTCACTGCAGAGTATGGATAATTTACAAACAATAAAAAAAATTAAAGGAATCACCAATAATAGTGATGAACTGTATCAGCTGTTAAAAATCAAAAACCAAAAACAAACAAAAACTCAGTTTAAATTTAATTATTTTGGCCTATTTGTTTTTTAAGCTTTACATTAAAGTGTCACAACTCTGCAGAAACAAACAAACAAATAAAAAAGATAAATTCTACAAATTAAAATAAATGTGGGGGCTCACTGTGTAGACACTTTTTCCTGCAACAATTTCCTTTATAGTAACTCGTTTTACTGTCTTTGAAGTGAAAGAGGAGTGCTGCTGTTTTATGTAATTAAATGTGATCTTACAGCGACATCTGCTGGCATTGTTTTATAACTGAATAATATTTACAATTGTATTATAAAGAAAACTAAACAAGGCAAGACGACATCTGCGGTTTATTCTTCGCTAATAAATGTTTGCTGTAATGTGTAATAGAATTAAAGTCTGAGAACAGCCTGTTTACACCGTATGTTTCCACGTTACTGCCCTTCAAACTCTCCAGCGGCCGTGTGAGCATGATTTGGTAACCTTAGCGACGTCACACCGCTTAGCCAATCAAATCTGCTCTTCTTCCGACGCCGACCAATGACAAGCGGAGACGCTTCACGGTGCGTGCTTTGCTGGCTGGATCCCAAATGTGCTCGGAGTGTGACTGTAGATCTACATTGCGGTCGGATCGGTGTGAACTGGGTGAAAATGGTTCTCGGATCTGCGTTTGCGCAGGTGCGGCGGCCATTTTTATCTGCGCATCCCCGTCAACGTCCCAGCAGCACTCCGTACAGCATGAGGGACACTGAGCCGGGATGCTGAGCCAAAATAATGCTGATTTAATGACAAGAGTGTGCTAAAACTGTGTCATTTTATAACCGAGCACACTAAGGATAGTTGTAGTACTTTAATTTAGCAACTGACAAAACCATGTTTCGGCAAACGAGGGCGGTGCTCCAGAAACTTCGGTACATAAGGTGAGCTGGCTAACGGTAGAGCAACTCGGCGTGAAGCTAACACACCGGCTACGTTCCGGTCCGGTTCAGTTCAACTGTCTGTTCTGCTGAGTCTGTAGTGTCACGACAACATCGACTAAGAGATATGAGTGAGAAATGATCCTGTTCTGTTTACCATTTAGTTGGTAATGTTTGACCAGTTACCCTGATGTAACCTCTGGGGGTGTGCTGGTCTACCAAGATGTGATGCTAGTCTGGACATATGGGTTAGTTACGGAACCATTCACTAACGATACACTTTAATACACAACGATGCGATGCAGCTTAAATCTATTTGTGTGATGAAAAAGATGAAAGAGAAGTGCATCAGGTCAGAACAATGTCATTGTGTTTAGTTTTAGAATACACACCAGTTAGACAGACTGCTGCTGTGTTAAATATGAGAAACTATTAACAGCAACCCTTCAGTATGCTGCAGTCCATAAAGTCTGCAAAATGAAAACATTCAACGTGACTTCAGTTTGTTCTGATGTATTTGATCAAACCAGACTAGTGTTGCTGTGGGAGGCTGCTGTGTGTGTTTCAGTGAACAAAGTTCTGCTGTGGATCTCTGACACTGGTCACAGAGACAAACACACAACACAACACAACACAGCATAGCATAGCACAACACAACACAACACACCTCTATATTGTAGGTTTTGTCAATAATTAGTTTTGTGTGGTTATTGAACAGGCAGTGTGTGTGTCTGTGTGAAGTTGTGACTTTCACCAGCTGACCTGGACGTGTTTCCTGAATAATCAACAGGCAGAATTGAACAGATCTATGGGAACGAGGAGGATCCCAGTGGAGCTGATCGGTGGCACAATGAGCACAATGCTGATCTCGTGTTTTTACATCTGGACCACATGGTTTTGAATCCTCTCACTGAACTTGAAAAATATGTGTTTTTTATTTTGGCCAGCTAGTTTGGTTTTGCTGTCTGTAGATGATATTGACGTAGATACAGACTTTATTAATAAGTGATATTTGTGTTTTTTTGGCGAGGTCTCCTTCATGTAGTGTCTTTATCTTCACACACACACAGACAGGTCTGGTTGGGACCAATCTACAAAGAAAGCATGCTGTCAGCCATGCTGTTGTGTTGTTGCTTGCAAACACGTTAAGCGAATGTTACTCCCGTGTAGTATTTCACAGTGGGAGTCCCGCGAGGCTGGAGCAGCCATAGTTAGTAGTAGAGCTCCAATCAACCGATTCGTGACTTTACAACCAGACATCAATCGCTCCATAGTAGATATAGGTCGATCCAGAGGCCCGCCAGTCGATGTCTTCATATCGTTAAATTTCAAATCGATTTCCAGTTCGTATCGGTGAATCTTTACACCCACAGTAACCACTGATGCAACCAAAGATGAGAATGGAGCTAGCTGACGTTGCTTTATATTATACATTTAGCGTCATAGTACCTTTTATTTTATTGTCATAGACGTTTAAGTCACCTGTAATTTGTTAAATATCTCAATTATTCGTGGAGTAAGGAGTGTTGTTGAAATTCTGGAAAAGGTTGATGTAGAATGAGGAACTCGACACAGAGAGACACACTGGAGACAGATGACTTAAGTTGAAATAAGGTTTACTGATATCAGGAGAAGTGACACTAACAGAGCAGCAGTTCAAACATGCAATGCCAGCATTAATTGTAAGGATTTCTCCCACACCGTCGGTCTTATACTGTCCTTGTGTGGGGGCCACATCCAGATTTATGGGTGAAAGGGAAACAAAGATAGTTGGGTGCCTTGGTGTGATCTGGCCTTGAGAGGTTCAGGGAGTGCCTGCCTGTCCTCCTACAATGAGGTTTACATGAGGTCAAGAATCAAGAGAAGAGCTGAAGAGTGCACATCTGCTAAAAAGGGTTCAATCAGAGGAGCTAAGGGGAAAAGGTCAATACCATCTCGAGATGCTTAACTCCAAAACAGAAGCTTAACTTTCCTTCACAAGGAAGATATCAGCTTCATATTAGCCCACATCAGTGTTCCACCAAGTAAAGTGACCAGTTTTTCTGTGACATGCATAAATGTAATTTTTTCATCTATACCTGCTAATTATCTCACTTTTTCCTGGCAAGTTAAAAAGGGCAATAAAAGAAACGCACATACACTTTGCAAAGTAATTATTTTTGCAGTGACAGATAAAAAAAAACTACACAAGACTATTGTTTCCTCCCCATTTCTTACATTTATCCGGACAGTGCTTGTATTTTCCATAAACCTGTAACTTCGGATGTGGCTGCTCTTTTAAAATCGAGGAAACTTTTAATTGAAGTTTACACCTTAGTTTGTTGAAGAATTGTTGTTTATAACGGAGATAGCTTTGGTTGCTGTGTAGGTTAATATAAAAGTTATTGCACATAATAAAATGATAAAAGACAGTTTGTGTTTGTCAGTGCAAAGATTGGTGACCTATTCGTATCGATCATGCATCTGGCCCAAGGTTTAGACAAAGTCTTGCTGTCCCCTTATGTGATAGTCACACTGTTTTTTTTATTTTTGGGGGATGGTATCTCATGTCGTAATGCAGTCACGTTTTAAATATATTACACAGTAAATATTGAACAGAAGTTTGACTTTAAAAGATTGTTCACATTGTCTGTCAGAAACACTGTGCACCACACTTTGAAATGTGGGTTCCTGTGGTTGCTAGTCTGCACGTGTAGGACAGTATCCTCGGCAGGAAGGTGTTTCTGGAGGCAAGACAGAGCAGGAAGGAAAGTGAGCAACCTGGAAGTGAAGCAAGTTCAACTTCTCTGTCCAACTTCACCCTCTTGTTTTTCTTCAAGTTTCAACGGACAGCAGCAAACATGGAGGCTGAAGAGCACTTCAGCAAGAGAGAGGGCTCTTCAGTACCAGCCAGGACAGAAGCTACATGGCTTTACAGTCAGAGAGGTCAGTGCAGTGCTCTACTTTCATTCCAGCCTTTGTGTTAGCTCATATTTGTACATATTTACAGTCTTCTATGTTTATTGGGTGGGCTTAAAAAAAGACATCAGTATAAAACTCTGCAAAACTATGTTTTAGCAGCACTTTTGAGATCAAATGCATGAATGGGTTCTCTGCAGGGTTCCTGATTAAAATTCAAAGAGACATACTGTAAATTTTGGGTTGATTTATTTATTTTTTTTAAATATCTTGTTATGATTTCATTGACTTTGCTGTGCCACAGCTGATATGATGAGTTTTCACCTTGAGGTGTTACTGCCATCAAACAAATGGTCATTCCAGCTGCTCGTTCTGTCCACAGGTTGTTGCCGTCCCTGACTTGTTTCTCACAGCAGTAAAGCTGAGCCATGACAAAACCGGAGCTCAGTACCTGCATGCAGCCAGGGATGACTCCAACAACCTCTTCAGGTTGGTTGAATTATGTTTTAGCAAATCTTTGTCTCTTTCTGCTCTGCCCTGCATATACAAAACATCTGAATCTTACCAGTGTTTCCTGTGATGTAGTGTCCAGTTCAGGACGACCCCTCTGGACAGCACCGGGGTCCCACACATTCTGGAGCATACTGTGCTGTGTGGATCTGAAAAGTATCCTTGCAGAGACCCCTTCTTCAAGATGCTCAACAGGTCCCTGTCCACGTTCATGAACGCTTTCACAGGTGCAGAAGCATGATTTGGATCTGAATGTGTTTTGTGAGTCTGTGAGCCAAATGTTGGAAAAGGTGTGTTTATATTTGCATGAATGCAAATGTAGTTCACCTGACATGTTTATTATTATTCCTGTGTTGCCATTATGAGCTATCTGTACTTGACAAGCCAGAATATACAGATTTATGATCTTGGCATAAGTATCGAGAATGAGTGTTTTTACATCCACCAAACAGCACATGTTCAGAATGCTTTTGTAATTTAGTAAAATGCTCAAATCACTATTTTACTTGTCAGCTTCCAAAGAAGTTACCTCATGATGATTGTTGCTTCTTAGATGACTGATAAGATGTTTGTGTGGCTTGTTTGTTTGCTCATCAACAGCCAGCGACTACACCATGTATCCGTTCTCCACCCAAAACGGGAAGGACTTCCAGAACCTTCTGTCAGTCTATCTGGACGCAGTTTTCTTCCCTTGTTTACGAGAACAGGATTTCTGGTGAGTTTTGACCACTGCTGCAGTTACATAGGTGCATTTTTATGGCTAGTGCTTAATAAAATACACAATAATAAAGTTTAATCTTGTGTTAAATGACTGTAATACAGTCGAGCAATGCTGAAATCCCCAGAGCAGTGACTGAATTAGATGTGCTGATTCAGAGTCAGTCTGGTGCTCAGAGTGTTGTCTTGCGGTAAAATGATAATATAAGGTAAAAAATTGTTTGTCAGGTCTGCGTGCAGTCAAATTGATAAACAAGATATTTGGTTCAACTGTGTATGAATTTAATTTTCCAGGCAGGAAGGTTGGAGGCTGGAGAATGAAAACCCGTCAGATCCCAGCTCCCCTCTGGTGTTTAAAGGAGTGGTGTTTAATGAGATGAAGGGAGCTTTTGTAAGTCAACACTTTCCCTTACCGGTACAACAGAAAGAGTTTGTTTGTTTGAACAAATACACTGTTTTGTTTCTCAGACACACTCAAACAATTCAAGTGTTTGCTCATCATCACTGTAAAGTTTCAATGCAAAGCTGACAACACTTTGGGATGTCATACATACTGTTGTTATAATATTAATAACACACTGACGTAGTACAGATCTGTACCAGAAATATGCTTGTTACAGTTGGGTGTTTAAAAATCAGTCTAACAAAAAGAAAAAAATACAAGTGATAAAAAGATAATTGATGTTTAAGGGAAGCAGGAAATTAACTTTGAAGATTTTGACTGAATATTAAACTCACGATGTTCACATATTTGAGATGCACCAGAATATTTAATATTTCACAAAGTTGTCAAAAATTAAATGACTCACTTCATTCACTGTAAAATTAATTTTGAAAAGTTCCAGAATGCAGAAGTGTGTTTTTTATGTGTGTTTGTGTACTTTTTCCAGTCGGACAACGAGCGTCTGTACGCGCAGCACGTTCAGAACAAGCTGTATCCGGACCACACCTACTCTGTGGTTTCGGGAGGAGAACCTCTGGCCATCCCCGACCTCACCTGGGAGCAGCTCAAACAGTTTCACGCCACACATTACCATCCCAGCAACGCCAGGTAAAGAATCGCACAACCGTAAATCTCAGAGTAGCTTTAAGGTCCAGAAAATGTAGTGTTTTGTGGAATATGAACAGAAACGAAATGAGTGGTTTTTTTTTTTTTCTTTTTGTTGTTTTAAACATTTAGGTTCTTCACTTACGGAGATTTGCCGTTAGAGAATCATCTGAAGCAGATTGAAGAGGAAGCTTTGTCCAAGTTTGAGCGCATCAACCCAAACACAGAAGTCCCTTCACAGCCTCACTGGACCAGTCCTGTAGGTTCTGTTACTACAGCATCTCAGGGTGTCATTCAGTATTATTAAACTTCTTCTGTCACACATGCACTGCTCACACTTCTCCTTTAATTAGTCAGGATGTTTTGAATTACTGATGGTGAGCAAGATGTGAATTTTGAAGTAATGAACCTGAATTGAAGAATCGGTCTGATCTCGCTGTGAATGTGGCTGTTGTTTTTCCAGAGAGCGGACCATGTGACCTGCAGCCCCGATGCTCTGGCTCCAGATCCAGCCAGGCAGAACACTCTCTGTGTGAGCTACCTGCTGGGAGAGTAAGATCACTTCATCTACTTCCTGCTGTGTTTTACAGAGATGTCTGAGCTCAGATGGTTTTTGAAGTAGGACGGCATTTAAAACCCCTCAGATACGACTTCCTCTGCCTCTGCTGAACTTTATTTACAGTCTTATGTTGTCACTTTGGCAGTTTTCACAAGGAGGCAGTTTTCTTTTTTAAAATCAAAGGCTTTGCTGTTTTGGTCTCACCTCTTCTTCTTGTTTCTCTGTTCAGCATCACCGATACGTTTGAAGGATTCACTCTGAGCCTGCTGTCATCTCTGATGATCTCTGGACCAAACTCTCCTTTCTACAAATCTCTCATTGAACCCAAGATAGGAACTGACTTCTCCTCTGTTGTTGGGTGTGTACTTGGCTTTAAAATAACAACAGCAAACCTGTTTTAATTTTACCAATTTGGGTATAAAGACTAATTGACTGACTGCAAACAATCCAGTGTCCTTATGTTTCTAAGTACCGATGTATCCGGCTCATGTAGGATTAAACAATCTTCTTAAAATCATTTTTTTCAAGAAGTACAGTTAAATCTCTATAATATGCATGAGAGCCAATTGAAATGTCCTGCAGGTATGATGGCAGCACTAAGGAGGCATCGTTCAGCATTGGTCTTCAGGGAATGGCCGAAGAGGACACGGAGAAGGTCAAAGAAATCATCAGCCAAACCATCAATGACATTATAGAGTAAGTCTCATATTCCCTGTCTATCATTCCAGTTTGCACTGTTGTACGTTTGGGTTTAACTTCGTAGAACATGTGAGCCAACTGTGGATGTAAAGCAGTGGTTTTAAAGTGCACTTTTTGGTAGCAAGCTTGCTGGTTAATCATTTAGTTTCACCACCACATTATTTAACCTACACGGACCTCATTTTTACTCTCTGTGAGGTTGATTTTCGCTGCATCACGAAGTCCTGCACCTCTATGGAAACAGCACAACCATGAGTAGAAGTAGAGAGAGCCCACACATTTCATTTGTGCAGCATAAAAAAGTTTTCACACCATAAATCAACAAAAAAAGGGGGAAAAAAATTATTGGATTATTAATTTTATTTTAAAAAAATTAATGTGTTGTTGACTCTGGGTGGCTCTACATACTATAACAATTTTACTGCTTACATTTTTATTTTCATTACATTTTTAATCTGCGCTGTGGAAACACGACCTGCAAATTACCTGAAAAGTTCCAGATTTTTGTTGTCACATGACTCTTGGTGGCAGCTGAGTCATTGACGACTTCTTCATTGCACAGAGTTGCACAGAATGTTGTTTTTTTACAAAGAGTTTGTTTGGCATTAAAAAAAAGAGACGTACTGGTGGAGGCAGATGGCCGTCCTCCCTGAGCCTGGTTATGACTGAGGTTTTTCCTCCCTCTGGGTTGGTTCCTTCCCACCGTTGCTCAAAGGAAGTCCAGAGGCAACTTTGGATTATTGGTTTCTCTGTTTAAATTTGTAAAGTCTTTCCCTTATTTTGTTATAGACGTGTGTTATAAACTGCGCTATACAAATAAAATTGAAGTGAATTGAATGATAGATATCTTGATTTTGAGCCTCAAGCTGGTTCTTGTTCCCAACAAAACTGAAAGTCACACATCATTCATTCAATAACAGTGAAATGTGTGTTTTTTCCAGTTTCTTGCTCTGATGAATGGCATCATTTTGACAATTAAAAGTAAAAAAAAAAACAGACCTGCTGGTGGGTTTCAAGGTTCAGAAACTTTGCAGAGACCTCGTCACAAGTTACGATTCATATAAATTTCCTCTGATTGGCTTCATGCATTCATTGAAAGTAATCTAACTATAACTGATATTGTTTATTCATTTAAAGTAAATTATAAGTTCATGTGGCAAAACTGCACAATATTTACAATATTTTCTTCCCCTCATCCAGAGTGATGCACAGAACACAGCGAGGCCTTCCCAGCAGGATGTCAGCATGTGATCATGTTTGATTAAAGCCTGTGTGTTATAGTATAGTATATAATATATATATAGTATAGTTGAACACAAAGAACCAGAAGAACTTTCTTATACTAATTAAGCTTAATACTTCTCGTCTAATACAGAAATGGCTTTGAGGAGGAGAGGATTGAGGCTCTCCTCCATAAGATTGAGATCCAGATGAAGCATCAGTCCACAAACTTTGGCCTTTCTCTGGCCTCGGTGAGTTCACTGTTTATCTCTGACCTTCGTTTTGTTTTCACAAACACAAGGACACTGCACATATTAGTAAACCTCCGTGTGGGCGGCATGTTTGCAGTCCGAGCTCTGTTAGTTTGTGTTCTCTCTTTATAAAATCATGTACTTGTATTTGTTTTCCCTGTACTTCTGTTTGTTTCAGTACAAATGAAGAATGTAAACATGTTCATAGCTGTTGTCCTGGAGGCTGTTGTGTACCAAATAGTTTGTTTGCTTATTTCCTACTGTTGCATGTGAGGCTATAATTCGTCCTCTTTGTCCAGAAAACATGATCATCGTGTTTAACAGTCAGAAACGCATATCAACATATAAAATGAACTGTATGGGAATCAGTAGACAAGTAAAAGTCATGCAGTGACTGTTTCAGTGTTGGACCTTCATTATGCTGTTGTAATTGTCTCAAAAATCATTATTTTGTGGTCTTCATGTCGTTTCTTAGTTATTATCGTTGTTGTTTGTGTATTTTATCAGTACATAGCGTCATCGTGGAACCATGACGGTGACCCGGTGGAGCTGCTGCGACTCAGCGAAAGTGTTGCCATGTTCAGGCAGGCCCTGAAGGAAAACCCACGTTTTCTCCAGGACAAAGTCAAACACTACTTCAAGGTGAATATAGACAGGTGTTGGTATGTACAATAAAGGTACAATTCCACCACATGGACGTTAAGTCCTGACAGTTCACTTGCTGCCTCAGTGATGTGAAGTGATGCCTGAATAGGTGCAATAGCTACATAACTGATGGTATTTACTGATGTTATTTTGTTTATGTATCTTCAGTATATTTTACATTAAAACTACTGACTGGTGAGGCAAATAACATTAGTTGTCTAATTAAAATCGCATCTATCGAGGCGTGGGATGTATGAGGCTTAACTTTATTTCCTAGTTGTATTTATCAGACCACGGGATGGAAACGCTAACCACCACCACCACCACCACCAGCACCACCACCACCACCACCACCACCACCACCAGCAGCAGCAGTCTTCATTTTTATTTACCAAGATCATAGCGAGGCAGATGCTTGCAGACTTAAATCACTTCACCTCATTTCCTTCACTTGAATCTTAAAGTTTAATGCTATTTTATGGTGTTTTGCCTCCCATCAACCCCCTCATCCGCCGCTGCAGGAGAACACACATCGACTGACCCTGTCAATGAGCCCAGATGATACCTACCTGGAGAAACAGGCCAAAGCTGAAGCGGAGAAGCTTCAGAAAAAGATAGAGGCTCTGTCTGATAGCGACCGAAAGGAGATTTATGAGAAAGGTACCAACAATTGCTCTTACATGTCAATTGTAGTTTGCAGTTGTTACAGGTTGTCCACAGATTTCAGGCTGTGCGATCTGTACCAGGTTTTAATTTAGGGATGTAGCCTTACACAAAAAGTTGAGCTCGGTACAAACCTCGATTGTCACAGATTGGTGTATTTCCAGCACAGCTTAAACCAGAGAAGAGAAAAATCAAAGTGTGTCTTTCTTTTTTCTTTTCTTTCTTTTATTGAGCAGACTATAGCTGTCTCTCTTTAGAAAGTCTGCTGCAACTGACTGCAAACTACCAACAAAAGAGACCAAAATAAATGTAAATAAACACTCAAATAAATAGAAAATAAAAGTAACCATCCATGAAGCTGCAGCAGGTAACAGAATTAACTGTACTTAAACTGTGCTGTCTTTGTATTCTCATTAGCAGCTTTCATCTTCATAATTAAACCGTGGACCACCGTGGACATCGGTAGCATGTGTTTATTAATAAAGACAGTATGAGTTGTTCACATGGTCTGATCTAACAACAACGTTTCTCACAAAGTTTTTCACAGATTAAACTGTCTCACATGTGCGGTTGCTGTATTTACTTGGTACTCATGCGTATCAAACCAAAAGGCTTCACCAAACATTTTCAGTATAAATAGATGTAGTATTACACCCCTACTCATTCTGTGGGTTTTCCTTTATTTTTTCTTCTAAGTCTGCATTTAACAAACGAAATATAAGTCCTTATGAGAAATGGAAACAAAGTTTAGCTGTGAAATATGTGGAAATCGTCTAAATAATGTCTTATTTGTGAGCAGCATCCTGTCAGTGTTTGACTGAACCTGGATATAATGTAAGGCACTTTTAACCCAAGTTATCCACAAGATGCTACAGTTGTGTTTTCCCTCTTGGAAAGGTCTGGAGCTGCTGGCTGCTCAGAGTAAAACCCAGGATGCCTCTTGTCTGCCTGCACTCAAAGTGTCCGACATCGAGCCAGTGATTCCCACCACTACTGTTCAGATGAGCTCTGCAGGTACAACAGCTCACCGTCTGTTTCAACAAAAGGTGATTAAAACTCACATCTGTCTGTGTCTGATGGAGCTTTTTTCCTCATCTTTCGTAGGAGGAGTGCCGGTTCAGTACTGCGAGCAGCCCACCAATGGTTTGGTGTACTTCAGGGCCATGTGTAGTCTCAACACCCTGCCAGAGGACCTCAGGCTTTATGTCCCGCTTTTCTGCAGCGTCATTACCAAGTGAGTGAACCAGTGAGTCTGCAAAACCAGAACAAGATGTGAAGGACGCTGGTGGGAACTGGGGATTGTTTCTTTGTGGAAATACATAATTTCTTTTTGTTGTTGTGGCATTTTTCTGTTGTAGGAAAGGCAGGTTTGTTTGTGTAGAACCTCTCCAGAGCAAAACAGGTCAAAAGTGCTTTACAATAAACACATAAGGCATTAAGAGCAAGTAAATGTATTTATACAGCACCTTGTCATTTACAGAGGTTATTTAAAGTGCTTTAAATTGAATATGTCAAAAACAGTACAGACAATTAAGTGCAAAGAGATTTTGTAGAATACATAAAACTGGCTAAATCAGACAAGTAAGTCAAGAGATGAGAAAAATTAAAGTTTGTAACAGATACATAACTATACAATACAAGAAAAGAAGAATTAAAATTAAGTGAATCAAAGTGCAGATAAATTTAAAGTACACTAAGTGAAGAAAGAGAAGAAACACAAGAGTGTATGAAAGATGTTGTTGTGTTTCACTAGGATGGGTTGTGGAGGTCTGGACTACAGGCAGCAGGCCCAGCAGATGGAGCTAAGGACCGGAGGCATGTCTGTTTCCACTCAGGTCATCTCCGACTACACCCAGCTGGACTCGTTTGAGCAGGTCAGTGGCGGCTAAATGCGTCTTTGAAACCACATAATAAATCCAAAAATTACATTTCTATCCTTGGTCCTCTGTGTGAGCTAAATGAGATGCAAGATACGCAAAGCAGGAGATTGTAAAGTTGTGTTGGCAACAGTCAAGAACATAGTAAAATAAACTGAAGCCTTTTGTCCCCCTGAAAACAAATAAGTAGAGAAAGAAGTGAATAAATACATTTAAATTCAACTTTTAAGTAAATAAATTCGAAATAAGTGAGCTGTTGGCAGTTTCTTGTTCCGATTGAAGATGAATTTGCTGCAGTGACATATTGGCTTCTAACTTTCCTCCTCTCATTGCTTTCTGTTTCAGGGCGTCCTCTTGTCCTCCTCCTGCCTTGAAAGGAACCTTCCTCACATGTTTGAGCTGTGGAGCGACATTTTCAATAAGTACGTGACAACAGTTCACATCCCCTGCAGCCAACGAAAGCTGAGAATGCAAATGCCTGTTTGTACAAGTAAAAAAAAAACAACAAACTTCCATTGTTGGTTTTGTTTTGTCGTGTAGGCCTCACTTTGACAACGAGGAGCGCCTCAGAGTGCTGGTGATGATGTCGGCACAGGAGTTGGCCAATGGCATCTCCTACTCTGGTCACATGTACGCTGTGACCCGGGCAGGTCGTCAGCTGACCCCAGCAGGAGACCTACAGGAGACCTTTAGTGGGATGGAACAGGTATATTAGTTAGAACTGTAGACTACAATGATGTGCTGCGTGTTTCTTGGCAGACTTGGTTAGCGTAGATCTGTACCAGTGTAGCCAATAGTCCACTCCTCCATCATATGCAAGTTTTATGCCAAACTTGAATACGGTTCTCCTTCACTCAAGAACTTTCATAATAATCAGATTGGTAGTTTTTGCATAATCCTGCTGTGTAACAGAAAAAGAGTCAAATGTAATGAAAACTCATCTGTAGTAAATGTGTAATTTTAAAACATGAGCCACTCAATGGTTCGGCAAATTCTAAACAAAATATAATGTAGATTTGTAGATATAAAGAGAGCAGGCTCTGCGTTTTAATTCTCAGGCTGTGTTCCTTGTATCTCCATTCTTCAGCTGTTAATGCATGTAAGCAGCCGGACAAAAGTCTATCAATAATATCTGATGTATTGCATGACAATGACACAGTTGTTTGCACTGAATATTAGAAAATGTTCTTGTGATTCTGCATGTGCACAACTTTTTGCTTAAACATAAAAGTCAAATAGAAACTTTTGTACAAATGTACTGCATGCCTTACATATACTTCCTACCCTTCACTGAAGACATTCATACCACAGATGGTGATTTTAAGATACCGTTGGATGTTATTCTTTACTATCGGCATTCCTTTGCAGTAATTTTTTCCATTTGTGCAGCATGTTCTTTGTGGCTTCAGCCTTACTGTTGCTGGTGTGTCAGCAGTTTGGAGATAATGTTTTGTGTTGTGGTGATTTGAACATCAGGTGAAGTTCATGAAGAGGATAGCTGAGATGTCAGACCTCACCCAAGTCATCCGGACATTACCCAGGATCAAAAACCACCTCCTCAACCCGGCCAACATGAGGTGGGTTCATATTACAGCTGCTAGTAGTTGGATTTTATCTCCACTAGTATGAACATTGTGTGCTGCTCTGAGCTCATTTTGCATGACAGTCAGTGTACTCTTGGTTTTTTTAAATTACTTTTCTCCTTCTTGTTTTGTTGTAATTGCTGCACTTCAACAAAATGATTTTACTATGAGTGTGATCTACAGACTGTGTATCAGGCGCTTAGCATTTCTCACTTTAAATGTGTGTCCTTCCAGGTGTGCAGTCAACACAACGCCACAGAAGATGTCTGACACAGCCACACAACTGGAGAGTTTTATGAAGGATGTGGCTGCAAACAAAAAGGAGCGAAAACCCATCAGAGCAAATATTATTGAGGCAGGTTTGACCAGACAGACTGTGTTTTATGTAAACTTGTTGATCCTGTCATAAAAACATTTCTTTCATGTGTTTTTATTCCTTTCTTGCAGAAGCCACTAGACCCTCAGAATGACTTCGGCCCAAGTAGGAAACTCTTATCTGTAAGTTCAGTGTTTGTTTTGCTTCTTTGTCCACTGATTGGCCTCTGAATGGTGTCACATTTTGCATTTGTTTGTCTTGTGTACATCACTGTCACATTCAGTTTACCATAATTACTAAAAACTGAGCAGGAGGTCCTGAAACATAATTAAATGAGTGAAAAACAACATTGTCCCTTTTATGTTCACATTATTGTGTAAAATTAGTTTTGCTTTTGCTTTGTTCATAGATGAATGAGCCGTTTCTGAATGAGGATGAAGTTCATGTTTGTTCTTGTGTACTTTGCAGGATCTGGATTTTCAGCCTTGTCAGATGAAAACTTTCTTCGAGTTGCCCTTCCCTGTCAACTTTGTCAGCGAGAGTATTCGCACGGTGCCGTTCTCCCACGAGGATTACGCCAGGTGATACATCACTGCACAGCAAAGACCAGTGGCATGGGGGAGGATTTGTGTTTGTGTGATTGATAGCTTGTTGTGACTTTCCTTTCACAGACCGTGTCCCTGTGAATCCTAATAGGTCTACAGTTTCAAACATGTTATTTAATGTGACTTCAGTGTGATTCTGCTCATGCTCAGTTGGATTTTATAGACCTTTTGTCCTACACTGTTTTCATGATATTCTGTCTGCATCCTCAGTCTGAGAAACCATTTCTCTTTACTTCCCATCTTTGTCAGTTTGTGCGTCTTGGCGAGAATGATGACGGCAAAGTTTCTCCACGGCGAGATCCGGGAAAAAGGTGGAGCGTACGGCGGCGGAGCCAGGATGGGAGCAGGTGGACTGTTCTCCTTTTACTCTTACAGGTGGGTACACATTCACCACAGAAGTCACACTTTTGGACAGCAGTGAATAATTAATACTGCAGGCTTCTCTTATTACAGTTAAATGTTTCATATGTACTTTTAACATTTACGTACCAAATCAGGGATCTTTTCCATTTTAAACAAAATGTCCTGAACTGGAAATATTCCTCAATGTAAAAGCTGTATGGAATAGTCGGTGGGGGAAGAGGTATTCACATGCTGAAGTAAAAGTACATAAATATTCGCTGCAAATTGTAGTTAAAATACTGGTTTGATCCCTTTGACTGATGTAGTTTTGTATACAACGTCATTAGATTTTTATTCCTGAAGCGTCAGTGAGTCAGCAGCAGGTTTTAACGACTTTACATCCAGTTTTATGCACAGACACACCAGATAAATCTGAATAACAAGAGGAAAAGAAGATTAAAGTTTTGGTTTGCAAACATGTTTTCTACGTGTTTCTTTAATCTTTCTTTTTCTTGTGAGATATTCTATCATTTGAACTTTTGTTAAAATGAAACCAGAAGTTAAGAAGAAGTTTGGTGGAGCTGGTATCAGTTCATAGGAAGGTGAAATGTGATTTTTGAGAAATCTAAAGTCATAGGTTTAATCTTTAACACTGTGTTGTATTGTAAGAGCTTGTCCTATTATCCAGTATATAAAACGTTCATCTTTAAAGTAGCTGAAGTTGTCAGACAAATGTAGTGGAGTAGAAAGTACAGTAACTCCCTCTGACGTGTGGTGGAGTGGACGTATAAAGCAGCATCATATGGAAATACAAATACGTTAACATACAGTAGCTGACTTCATGTATGTGGTTCCTTTCTATCACTGTGAAGAACTGCATTTCCTATAAAACAAACTTTCTGGTTAATTTGTGACACCTTTATTCCCTAACAAGCCAGAACAACACCTAAAATGCACCACCTCAGGCTGAAACAACAGTTTAAGCTTGAAAATGTGGATTTTAAAACAAAGGGTCAAAAATCAATGTATTGGAGAAACTTGAATATTAAAGGTGGAACAGTTTCCTGGTTGATTATTTGGCAGACAATCAGTTGGCACTATTTTGATCAATTAATATTTTTCTTATTTTTTAATTCTCTGGTTTCAGCTTCTCAAATGTGAACATTTCTGCTTCTCACTCTTGCATGTTTGGAAGCTGAATGTTTTTCTATCAGAATAAACGTGATTTGAGGCCTCAGAGAGAAATTCTGTTACTGTTTCCTGAACATTTGTAGACCAACAGATCAGTCAAAAATAAGAATAATGCTCAGTTGCAGCCTTAATAACAATATTTAACTGTTCAAATTAGATTCTTATTGTTTGTTGACCTCAGTTTGTCTCTTCTGTGTCTAAGGGATCCAAACTCGGTACAGACATTATCTGCGTTTCATAAAGGCGTTGACTGGGCAAAGTCAGGACAGTTCACCCAACAAGACATCGATGAAGCCAAACTGTCAGTGTTCTCAGCTGTGGACTCCCCTGTGGCCCCCGCTGACAAAGGTGAGAGGCCTAAATGATGTGTGACAACCATGACAGCAGCTGCTTTGGTGGATTTAGATAAAATCATTTAAAACTCGCTGGCAAGGTTTGAAAGGCGTGTTTTCTTAAAAAGAAATTACCAACATTTCACCATTTGTCAGAGCCAGAGACGGTAAAATCAGGAAGATCAGTTAGAAAATAACCAAATCAAAGATGGAAACCACGATGTTTCATTAACATCTCTTTATTTTACATGTCTAATTCAAAAACTTGGACAGAAATTAACTGCGCACCAGATCTTGTAAATAAAACAAAAAAATCTGCACTTTTCAGCACAACTAGTTCTCAGTGACTGACTCAAGGCAAAGTATTCATCTGAGCTCCAGGCAGTGTTTACTCAGAGCAGAGAGGAACAAATTAAAGAGAGAGAGGAAAACAAAACAGAATCAATAAAATCCATGCAGATAGTGAAACATATTTCTCCAATTCATGTCTAAAGTTGTGTGAAAATTACCTAATTTGTTCAGCTAATAAGTCTTTTTACAACTTGTTTTAAAAACCTGGAATCAATCTTTTTTTTAAATTTTTTAATTAATTAAATGTGTCTTTCGTCTTGTCTTGTTTATGATCTGTGACGCATGTGTATCCTGCTGCACAAAAGACGCTTTTGAATTCCCTCTGTTTGAATAGAGGATTTTATAATGCAGTAAAAACAGCCAGAAAGGGTTAAACGTTGTACATTTTATTTAAAATATTTTTAAAAATCCTTAATTCAATAATAACTATCTATTACATATAATGTGTGTATAGATAAATGCATAATAATATAGATGTAAATATATATAATTATGACTATATTCTTAATAAATATAAACTCAACTTTTAATATGTAAAATATGAGTGCAGATTTTTGGACATCTTCAACTCAGATCCTTTCACTTTGACATTTTCTTTGTTTTCTGTTGAATTTCTCTTTTTTTTTTTCTCCCACTTTAACTGTCATTTTTAATGTTTTTGTATCATTTTAGAGTCATTATCCTAATAATTATAAGAGAGAATGAGTCCCTTAGTGCTGCTTTAAAGCTCGTCGCTGTGTGTTTGTGATGCAGGAATGGGTCGATTCCTCAGCGGAGTCACAGACCAGATGAAGCAGAGCTACAGAGAAAGACTCTTTGCCGTCAGTCATAAAAACCTGGTGGATGTGGCTGAAAGGTAAAAACCCTGGAAGCATGAATTAATCTGTGAAAGTCCCTGTGAAACTGAAAATGAATGTCAATGAGTGGTGATTTTAACTCTTCACTGTGGAAATATTTCTTTCACTGCCAGCAGCCTTCGTGTGGAACGAAGAAGAAAGAAAAATACAAGCTTCTACAAGTAATAATAAAACAATTGTTCTTGTTGCTGCAGGTACCTCTGTGTTGGTCAGAAGACGTGTGGTGTTGCCATCCTGGGCCCAGAAAACGACGCGATTAAGAAAGATCCCTCATGGGTTGTTCAGTAATAAGACGGTATTTTTGAAACTGAAGACTTGGCCTGGATGTACAGAAAACCCAAAGGCAAGGCTGACGTTAGGATGTTTTTTGAAATTGTTGCAAAGAAGCTGAAGCGCACAACAAAGAGGAGGAGCGTGGATCATGTTTGTCATTTGACTCAATGAGATTAATGCTGTCTGCATATTCCGTTGTGTACATAAATAAATATAACAATATATTGAAATACAAAATTTGCTTCAGCTTTTTTTTTAATATATATATTTTGAGTAATTAACACTTTTTTGTCAGGAAACAGATCCAGAAAGATTCAGAATTTACATTTTAGTATGGGGCTGCAAGGTGGCGCAGTTAGTAGCACTGTTGCCTCGCAGCAAGAAGGTTGCCGGTTGGCGTCCCGGTGAGGACACCCGGGTTCTTCCTGCGTGGAGTCTCCATGTTCTCCCCGTGCAGCGTGGGTTCTCTCCGGGTTCTCCAGCTTCCTCCCACAGTCCAGAAACATGCTGAGGTTAATTGGTGATTGTAAATTGTCCGTAGGTGTGAATGTGAGTGTGCTTGGTTGTCTGTCTCTAAGTGTAGCCCTGTGATAGACTGGTTACCTGTCCAGGTGAACCTGCCTTCACCCTGAGTCAGCTGGGATAGACTCCAGCCCCCCATGACCCTGGTGAGGGTTAAGCGGTGTATAGAAAATGGATGGATGGCATTTTAGTATGAAAATTACTGTTTTACCCTCAATGTATTTTAAAATATATATTTAATTTATTCTCAAATGTGTTAAATTATGTAGAATTGTCCATTTCTAACTGTTGTAGCACAGATACATGGTCACTCAAATGAGACATGTTCTTTGAGATATTTGTCTGCCTGCAACCAAACACAGAAGAGGTGGGATTCACAATGATGCCGCTTTCAAGAATCAGCATCCCCTTTACTCTTGATAATGTAGTTTCCACTGAGACTACTGCTTCCATAGAAGCTCCTCTTAAGTCTGACTGATCCAGAGTTATGCAGACTGTGTCCCTGTATTAGTTTGAAGGCAGTCACACCTGAGCTGTACAGCTGAAGTGGTTGGATACCACAAGATGTTAATGAGAAAAACATTTTACCCAAAGTCACTGTTATTAACTGTGTCAGGTATCCCACTCATCCTAAATGCTTCTGCAGAAAGCAAGTGGACTTTTGTGGTTCTGAAAGATGTCTAAAGGGGCTTCCTCCCTATAACTAACAAGTGGGTAGTTACGAGTATTTATTTAGGGACACCTGTGGGGCGTTGCTCACCTTGAACTCACATGAATGAGCTCTGCAGGACTGCATGTGGCTGGTAGGTGGTGCTGCAGTTCCCTTCCTCTCTGAAGAGACTATTGTTCCAGTTCAACATTGAGCTCTCCCTTCATTCCTCTTCATCCATCTGTCTTCTCAGAGAATTTGTGTATTGTTGTCTTCAAAGAAACGTCCCTTGTCCTTTAGATGCAGGTGACCTGCTGTGTCCTGTCCTGAGGTATTTGCTTTCCCTTGTTGTGCAGCTGTTGGTCGGTTCCCTGATCTGTGTTGTTTCATTGAACCACATATCCACCACGGCTCAGCTTGGCTTTGGGTGCTTAAACCTCAGAGTGTTACAGGGTTCAGAGAGCTCCACGATGCTGTGTTTGGAGAAAATGGTAAATTTCTCAGACACTCCAGCTGCATACAGAATGACGTTATATGGCAGAGATGATGCTGCTAGACAGGTAGTTAGAACATTTATGTGGATTGTTGCCGCATGTCTTTGCCCATCCTGTGCACAAACACAAACATGCTGGGATATGATGTGTAGATGCATTTATTTCCCATTTACAAAGAGATAACTGTGTTCAAACACAGACCGAACAGCTAAGAGACAATGAACGGATATTTACTGAATTTGACATAAATTGGATTAAAACCTCTGAGTTTACCATCAGAGGGAGAATACACCACTCTAGTTCAGTTTAGTTTCTATCAAATTGAGTGAATGTCTTCTCACGGTTTGCTAGCTGTCCGGTCTGTGTGGGCATTAAAAGAAGATCCAGTGTTTTTCCACAGGTCTGGATTAATGAGAACCAAAGTGGACCCAGGCTGATGCACCAGCATGTCCTGGTCATGTTTGGGTGCCCAGGATGAGGAAAGGCAGCAGTGGGAGAGAAGGGCTCAGTAAGTCTGGCACATGTTAACCATTTATAGGCTGACTAGCTACATGTCAGTGATGTGTCTGTGGAACTGCACCTTTAAGTCGGCAAAGAGCAACAGGTGTACGACACGGTCACTTCCTATATGGTGAGAAAGTTATAAGAACTTTCTCCAAACACAACATCAGACCAGGTTCACTCAGAGGTGAAGACTACAAAACGCAAGAGTCAGCAGTCCACCTGTTTCAGATTCAGTTTATCAGTTTATCAGTTTATCACGGTGCTTTAAGGTTTATCACCGATTTTGAGTCGTTTACTCGTCATTGTTTGTTGCACTCTTGTGTTAAATGGTCAGATTTGACCACATGAAGGGAAAAAACACGGCATGTTTTAGTTTATACATGTGTTTTAGGCTTTCTTCTTTGTTATTTATAGGTTTTTATTTGTACAAAAGCTGCAAGTACTTATCTGCGGTCCCAGGATCTACTGTTACTGTCTGTTCCCAAGAAACACTGACATTCTGGACAGAGGATGCTCTTTTGAGAGAGAACCTACAGCAACACTGATCAACCACTTATTCCTTGATATCAGTTAACCCCCATTCACACTTTATGCAAGTTCAGGCAGAGTATTGGCCCACAGATCCACCTGAAAAACACCTGGAACAACCCAGCTGTTGCGAAGAACTGAGGAAGCTTCTTGGATGAGAGCTGACACACCTTGAAGAACCAAAAGGAAGTTCAAGTGTCTCCTACTGAAGGATCTTAGATCCTCGTTATTGATCAAAAAGAAGCTGCAGGTAAAACAACACAGAACAACTGTCACTGTTTTCACACAATAAATGCTTTATTACTCTGACAGGACGCTCACATCACGCTGCCAGCACAGAACGTCACTATTGCGTAGTTTCAACAACTGGCAGGACTCTACTCACAAACAACCACTATAAAGATGTCACATACAAAGCCCGGGGTGGATACAAACGGCAAAGGCAACGACACAACACACGCTCTTACGCACAGCTAGCAGGTGACAGGACACACAAATGGCATCGTCCTAAAGCCTCACTACACCTCCTGCAGGTTCCTTCAAGTACTCAGCATTGTGCAGTCAAGGTGGTAGACATTTTTCAAGGTGTGAACAGGCTCTAGACAGAAAGCAAGTGGCCCTCCTGGCATATATTCCCTCTTTATAAGCAGCCTCATGGGTTTACAGGAGTTATGGGGCTCAAAGTGCTGTAGAAAATAAAAGTGACCACTGCTAAACAAATCACCCAGACCTTCACTTGGCTCGGTGACTTTAAAAAAACTAGATATGGCTACATGTTTTGGACTAAAACACTTATACAGTACATAATAAGGAGTGCTTTTATATATATTTATACTAGGTATATATAATAACTTTTGGGGGATTTGAAAATAAAATGTTTGCGCTGCTAGCTTCTTTAAATTACAGTTATATTCCAAATCACATCCTCAAATTTAACATCATGATCTAAAATACAGAAGATCCCCTCTGGAAAAGTGCCGTGACTGAAACCGTACAATATAACTTTTTATTTCTTTTTTTAAAAATTACCTACTACCTTTTAAAATCTACCTTATCGTGTTAGTAGTCAATCAGCGGTCGATCAGTCATTGTGTGAGTAGCAGTCACCGTTACGTGAAGCTGCTTTCCTGTTGGAGTAAAGCTCTGCTGGCGGCAGCAGCAGCAGCAGCAGCAGCAGCTCAGATGGTCGCCGAGGTGTTGCTCTCTTTGGTCCGGAACCGGGTCACGTGTTCCAGCTGGCCGGAGTCGGACACGTCGTAGCTCGTCTTGTACTTGGCCAAGATCTTCATCAGAGGACGGAGCTTCAGCCACCACTGCTCCTTTGGGATCCTGTGGCTGGAAGGACGCAATAGGAAGGTTTTTTTAATTTAAACTACACTTGTCCTGCTACTTGCCTTCAGACACGGGAAATTTGCTGTAACTTTTGTATTTGACATTAAAGCCGCACCTAAAAAAATCCCTCATTAGTGTTTGACAAGCGTGTTGTGAGAACAGTGTAGAGGATTTAAATAGTCGCCTCGTGGTGCCATTTATTGGGGACAAATGTTAAATATGAGGAGATGCTCAAGCTGCCATAAAAACTGTGGAACTCTACATAAAAATCTCTTTGGGTGCTGCACAACAAGAACCAGATCATCTGAGATATTTAACCGCAGCAGTTGTAGGTTTTGGCTCCCAAATTTTAAAAATTTAATTAAATTAAAAACACGTTACAGATTAGTTGTACCTAATCTGAAAGTATCCTAAAAAAAAGCTTTGTTTTTTTTTTACTTACACAAAGTCGGTCTCGTCTCGTATCTGAGAAACAGGTTGAAAGACCAGAGCTCTGCGACGCATCCCCAGCAGGCAGGCAGTGTCGTCCGAGTTAGCAAACACTCTCCCTGCATTGAAGAGATACATCAGCCATTAAAATAACACAATTTATATAGAAGCTTGTAAAAACAGAGTTTACAAGAAGAGTGCTTCACAGAAAACAAGAAGAGTGAGGAATACTAAGGAAGGACACAGTCCAAACATGGTAGAAGATACTCCAGATCAAATAATAAAATGCCACATCCAAGTGAAAGGAAAGAAGTGGAATAAATAAAAACCATAAACCTGAGGCTACATACATGTCCTCTATCAACTCATGCAAACACCACAGATACATTCAGAAGAACAGAAGCTCACCTGTGATCAGAGCCAGTAAAACTAACACTGATTTGAGATTTTTCAGACAGATTGTATGATTTGAGATGCAATATTTTTCAACTGTATAACAGATTTAAATTCTGATGGAGCTTCACCACGTAGGATATGAACAGACACACAACTTTGCTGCAGGTCATAGGTGTGTGTAGATCAGCTCTGCAGACTCGGGGATGCTGAAGCCAGGACAAGCAGAGCCCACTTAGAAATTCCCTTATCACACCAATCAGAGCTTCAGAGGATCGAACACAAAGAAGCTTTTGGGGGAAGTCGAAGAAAAACATTCAACCACGTGGACCTTAGCAGACGGCCGGTTGTAATGTAGTGCTCCGCTGACCCCTCATGTCCTGTGGCAGCAACAACTGAACTTAACAACTGAACTTGTGAATGAACAGTGAAGATCCAGGACCAGAGGATGTGCCTCATTATCTTACTTAAGTTTAACTGTTATTAAATGTGGAAGTATAACGTCCTGATAAATACTCCAACACATAAGCATAATGGTATTAACCATTATGTGAAAAGACTTTTAAGTCTCCATCACTCTGTTCCACATCAGGTTTTCACACTCATATTCTCAACCAGCATTTTCATCATTGTTTGTGTTTTATATTTAGGGTCCGAGCACTAACGGTGCAAGGACCCTATTGAAACCCTTGTGATTATTAGGGTCCGAGCACCCAAAAGGGTGCAAAGACCCTATTGGAACTGCTCGGATTATTATTTGTGCCAAAGACACGCGTTTTTGAGGCCCTAAACATACTCGAAAACTCACCAAAATTGCCATGTACATCAGACCCGGTGAAAAATTGTATAATTTGGAAGAACAA